AGTTGGAGTGGAAATGAGGTTCACGCGCAAGCCCAGTAAGTTATCCAGTGACCATGAACAATCTCGAATAAATCAAGACCAGAAACAAACCATGCACGATATCGTAACAGCTCAACTTTGTGCAAAGTTTTGAGTGTTATTGCTCTTTGGCTGACCACAAAACTTTTAGTGCTGCTTCGCACGTTATTGTTCTTCATCTCTGGAACTGGTGGCACCCGCCACGTACGTGGGGAGTGGATTGCAGAATCAATTTCTGAAAATTTCGACATTTCCGAATTTTCGCATTTAGGCCGTGTTCATAGACAGAACCGAACCGGGAAATCAGAAGATCCGCTAAAAAACTGGTCACGAATCGACTTCATCAATTCCTGACCTTGAAGGAGTCTACAGAATCGATTTTCGTCATATCTTTCCCGCTGATTCTCTTACTTTTCATTCGCCTTATCCTCCCCAAACTTTCAAAAAGTGGAACCAGATAATCAATCGTAAATCCCTTCGCGTAGTTCTACGATTCCTCAGTTCTACAGATTGATACGTATACGTTCCTCCAAGCTGATTCCCTGGTTTTAGAATGGCGCTATATGTGAACACATTCATAAGCAGAATCGGATTTCATCGTGTTCTATCCTTCTAGATACAATGAATGATTGACTAACCATTATCGGAGTGATCGTCCTCCGTTCCCTTCTTACTTTTGTAGCTCTCCACCTAGAATGTAGGTGAATGAATGTACTCTGACTTATTTGCTCTTATAATTCCTTTTGACGAAATAATAACTGCACCCGTTTCAGTCTGATTAATGCAGTATAACACTGCAGTGCGCGCCCGAAAGTCATCACAAGAGTGCTGGGTTATGGGCAAAAGTTGGACCCGAGAGGATTATAGCGGCCCCGGTGACGTGATGGATAGCACAGTCGACTGGTCAACGAAAGATGCGGGTTTGAGTCACGCTTGGGGTCAGACTTTTGCCCATAACTCAGCACTCCTGCAATAGCTGCAGTACCTGAGGCTAGTAAAAAAGGCGACCGAGCTGCAGAAACGAGCAACAGTAAGATCAAATCCCGTCAGACGCTCGCTCGTTGGACGGGCGAATGCGTTTTCTTAGTCGTTACTGATGCGAAAAGGATAAGGCGGTTATGCTTAAAAAGCCTTTCGGAAAAGAATCCTCCCATTTGGAAACATATTTATTTTCATCTCAGTGGGGAAATTGTTCCCTGTTTACTTTGGCTATGGTTAATCCTTCCTGTTGCAAACGCTGGGCTGTAGAAACGCTTATGCCAAGGTACAGCCACATCGCAGCTTTCCTGTTTTTTACGATTACGGTAAATAAGTACAAGTTAGAAAGCTGTGTATTTGTGTTTGCGCATACAACAGGTCACTCAGGACACCCATTTTATGCTTCAACTAAAAAAAAAAACAAAAGATACCTCCTCCTTTATCAAGTCGATATCATAATTAAAACATTCTTCGGTGTTAAGATCACCAAAACCTTCATCGTTTACACCGTCGGCAACCTCGGTCATTAGTGTATATCCAGCTGTTTCTTTATTTTCTGAAAATTAGGTAGTTATTGTCCAGTAACAAAGGTTAGGCTTCAAAATACGGTACTAATGCATTTTTGAGGCGGAGGTGGTGTAGTGACAAGTGGCGCGCTTACCACTCGCGCGGCCGGGTTCAAATCCCGGGTCGACTCCCGCCCAGGCCAACCAAGCCTTCTATCCTCCGGGGACGGTGAATAGGTAACTCGTCTGGGAGGATAAAACACTGACTTGTACATCGGCTGGCCCCGCAAGTCATTGTATAGGCCACATCGCATTCAATAAGCCACTACGATTCTGAATGGAAGTAGAATGCGTGCCGCATCCCACAAAGGGATTGATCAACGGCGAAGACTTTATCCTTCACTTATTAACGCATTTTTGGTGAAAGTGTAACGAGGCTCTGCCTAATCAAAACCAGATGACAATTGTTTGAAACAGAAAACTTCGCGGAATAATTCTTCGCCATGTTCAAATGAAGCATGTAGCCACGCCCTTTCGATTCATGGGGTATAGAGTGTATGTCTCTTGTATGTGGACTATATAAATTCGTTGGATGATTCCAATGCTTCTCGACAAGGTCAACAATCTCATCAGAGCTTTATTTGAAAACCTAAAACTACGCTACAAACCACAAAGTGGATAAACAAGAAAGAGAACTACTTATGGCAGATCTGATGTACACGAAAGTGTAACTACCACAGTTATTACGTGAATGACAACCCTCGACCACAACGAGGTAAGCACACAACGAAGTCAGAGAGAGCCAACTCATGGACCAATTGCACAGCTAGGGGGTAGCTTTAGAAGCCTGACTGCAAATTTTCAAGAAAACTGTCAGGCGGGCAGAGAAAAGAACCCTCTTGCGTATATGTGAAGTGCAATAAAGTGAGTATGGGCATAAATGAAATAGAAAAGTAGAATGTAAAGCAAGGTAGGTTCCCTTAAGTACGGAGTCAATTAAACCAGCGTGCAGTCAAGTCTTCTATAGCACACCTATTTGCCACACACTAGGTCCATATCAGCAGAGCGACTAGCACAACTAAGCAATCACTAACAATAATGCTTTCAGCACCACTATATGATACAGGATTGCATTTAAGATGTCATATAATGAAAGGTACATATTATATCGGCATTAGGCACTGAAAATGGAGCTAGATATTTAATAGGCGAACATGGCCCTATGAAACTCCACAATCTCACCTCAAAAACGCATCGTTCAGTGCGATACGTCTGATATAACATCCACTAGAGTAACAACGTTATCAAGGAAATAAAGCGGAGAAAGATATAGTAAGCAACAGCTCCCATCAACTTTGAATGAGAACTTATTGTGGGCTGCGCACGCTGACGTTTTAACCTAATTTTTTTCGTATAAGCACCTAATAAATGATCCTGAAATTAGTTAATTGAAGTGACCGCTCTATAGTTCATATTTCTACATTAAAGAATAAATGCTATCAATAATCTGCAAAACCTTGAACAATCATATGAAACAGAATATATCTAAGGTGATGGAGAATCCGTTCGCAAAAAAGTCGAAGAGAACTGCTCCAAACTTCGAAGAAGAAAAGCTGCTTTCCCTCTGAATATTCTACGAATTAGGCTACTCACGCAATTGCAAATACGCTGAACGGCTCGTTTAAGATAATGGTATCTAAAATAAATCAAAACAGATAAACTGGAGAATAAAAGGGGACGGAAAAAGTTGTGTTAACTTTCAGCAGAATAACGCCACCAAATCAATGCCGTTTATGGTACTTCTGATTTCGTCACTTTTTCATGTCAGCGGCGACGGTATCGTCGAAATTCCTAGACAACTGAGCTGCAAATCCTCAAGGTCAAAGCAATATAGATGATAACCCCAATTTCCTTAAATAACACCATGCTTCGTTATTTTTCTTATGAAGAAACTACCTCCAGACCATCTCTCCTTATTGCTCTTATGGTGAAATCACTTCTAACTTGCCTCCACGTAATTTCCAAAGCCACGCCTGAGTTCAAAAATGGTGAGTTGTGGAGTTCAAGTTAGTAATGACGAGATGGTAGATAACACATCAACGAGGAAAAGAGCAGGAAAAATTCACCCGAACTGTCCCTTTAAAATGCAGATGCGCTTGAAGGGGGTGGTCGGACAAGTTCTCACTTGTTAGTGCGCTCCTTCTTATCACCTAACTCTCATCATTCTGAGTAGAGAATTAGTAGCATAGATAGATTAGATACGTCAATACATACGTTTCAAAGGATATGTAAGACAGAAGGTAAGATAAGTAATGTAAACAAGACGTAACTTCAAGATAAATAAAATGATCACTAACTTGACTGTAAGAAGGCTCTTCAGCGTGCTATCTACTTTCTCGATTTCTTTTTTACTTTTGTCCAACTCTTCCTTCATTTCTCTGTGCACACCAGCAACAGTTGCTCGAAGACCATCAAAAACTTGATCCATTTCCCTGAAGTAACGAGCAGTACTTCAGCAAATATCTTTAACCTTACCCTAAACTCGTAGACTGATGTGACAACATGTCCTTCGGGGAATTCGACAAGATCCAAATCGAGAACATTGACTATAGAGTTCGCTATAGAGTCCACATACCTCTTGATCAGACTCACGCAAAGGCAGGTGACCATAGTGTGATCGTACAGGTATGTTATGACACAGTTACACTGGTCTATGGTGGTTTGGACAAAGAATGAGGTCTCCTGTCTTGTGGTTCACTGCTGAATCCAAAGCTGCGGCAGCGTGCCTCTTTCTGCGCTCAAAAGTGCACGGGAACGGGGCAGGAGGGCAATGATACCCGAACTGAAACCTTGGTATCATTGCAAAAGATGCAGCTCGAAACAGCGCGGGCGTTAGAGTGGAAATGACAGCCCGGTATCACTACCTACAACCTGATTTCAGTGTGCTTTCAAGTGACGAGACTGTCACATTTGCACAACTTCGGTGATATGTAATAATGGATAGCGCAAGGACTGGTGAGCGTGAGGAGCTGGTTCGGTTCCTGCCTAACGCCGAGTCTGATGCTTTAAAGTGAAAAATCTAGCCTATGAGTTAAAGGACCAAGTAAGCTGTGACGGAAGAACAATCAAGCGAATAATTACCGCATTGCTTGGGTTTCACAATGTGTCGTATGAGCTGCTCCAACTTGTTGCATTCGTGCAGCGAGATGGACACGAAATTGCTCTTTCAGATGCTGCTCTTTTGCGTGAGAATTCCAACGCATACGCTCCCACAAATATAAACCTCCATATGTTGCCGCAGTTACAGCAATTACCTGCAACAACATGCAAAGCATTATCAAAACCTCAAAGCTCACCCTAAATGCTATCATTTCTAGCAATAACAAAACTAGCATTTAGCAGTAAACCCTCATCGAGAGAAAAACTCTGCTGTCTGCTTACCCTCCATCCTACAGCCCTGTACACGACTCCACCAATAATCAACAGCCCGATACTTCCATTAGCCAGATAGCTGGCCGACGTCAACACCATTTGTGTCATCATCGCATTTTCTTCAACAGCCTTATGCATAGCTTCAGCATGCAGATCTTCATTGGTGCGACCGGCATTTCTCTAGAACATGAGAGATATGTATCAGTTCGCTTATTCAAGCTGTTCATAAGTCACTAACCAACGCCAATGGAGTCAACAGATTCGTTTGGATAGCAGTTACTGGCTGTCCCGATCTATATGCGATTATACGACGAATGATAGCCGATAACCCAAATGTAAAACGAAATTCTAGGTCTTCGTGGAAATCCCTGAAAAAGTTTCATCACAATACATGCTCTCTTAACTGTACTGTCAACCTGTCAATCATATACACTGCACCGGAAACGTTGGAACAAGATAACAATATCATTTCAAAGCAATTTCGACTTATCTTTTCAATTTTAACTCAGTGTAACTAGAAACATATTTCTGTGAAACCACTTTCAAAAAGGAATAGCTACAAAGCAGCCGACTTTTGATTTTCATCTAGAACAATCGCTGCTAACAGTAAACTCACTTCGTAAGCGCAGGTGCGTCAACGCAGATGCTGAATTTGAACGGCGCTCGATACCTCCAGACCTCTTCAAGTTTATGTTGGTAAGGCTCGGCTAGGATTTGAGTTACGTACTCTGAAAAGCAAAGAAAACTGAAACACAATAAGAGTGTGTACACATAGCGGCAGCTAGAGTAATTTCAGCGCACACCAGCGTTTCAACCGACTAAGGAAGTGTAGGTATCGATCTAAGGTTCTGAGCGTATCGCTCAAAACGCTGGTGTATGCTCAAAACTCTCGCGAAGTTTGAGTTCGCGCGTACGACCTCAGTTCGCGCGCGCTCAGAACGCGCGCGAACTGAGGTCGTACGCGCTGGCGCAAAGTATGAAGTGTGTGATTTTAACTTCGAGGTCTAACATATAACGCAATTTGCATGAGAGAAAGAATGAGTCCGCTCTGCCCCCCCTCGAAGCAAAGACGTTTCGACTTGTGAATCGTGCTGCATGTAAGCTGGATATAAAGCATCTAACCAGCCATATTAAAAACTGGCTCAGAAGAAGTCTCAACTAGAAACTAGAAGCGAAGTTGGAAAGCAAGAATGGCTAGAATGCCATGGAATGCATCTTGAAACGGCCTTTAGGGAAAACATTGCTTAGCATCCACAATCATGTCTCTTCAACATGCGAAAAAAAAACATGCAAAAAATGGCGACATTATCAATTTGCCATCCTAACAGGAAAAATTCGCATCGTCACACTCGAGAAGAAACAGATAGCGTCGAGAAAAGACTCAGGGAAATGAAGGCGTTAAGAGTGCTTGGTGTGTCAGCGCGTCTAGGCCTGGGGCGCTAATGCATAGGACGAATATTGCCTCACTCCCTAATAAACTCTCACTTGTGGATCCCTAGCCATCTTTTTGACGTAGTGTCGGAAAAAAAGGGTGAGGAAATTGGAAGAGTACACCAAGAAAGGAAGCAACTCCACTTTTAACGTCAGATTTAGGTTTCCAGAGAAGCAGCGGACCTAGTACACGTCGATAAAAGACAGACTACGACACCAACTAGAGATTATTCATGTAAAACAAGGAGTTAACATGGCTTTCCGATATAAAGGTGTTAATCAACAACGGCGAATAAGAAAGTGCGACTGCAGTTTTATAACAAAATAATTTCCAGGGTTGACACTTACGGAACATGTCATTTTCAAGATTCCAAATGCGTGACATCAATCCACCAGTGCATCTTGCCTCTAGATCGGAACTGACACATTTATCAGTGAACTCAGCCAACGCCTAAACGATTCTTTCTAGGATTGATCTCTGGAAGGAACAAGGGATTCTCACTGGAAACACACCCGTTTGTACTCGATTATTCCTTCTCTAGTATCCATGAATGGCATGTTGAAGCGGTCTATAATAGCCTCGAGCCTCATTATTTCTTCGCTGAAGTCCGCTGAAACCTGCAACAAGAGCAACAGTAATGACGTGAACCGCACTGATGAAGGCCTGACAGTAAAGTAAAGAAAGAGCCTGTCCCAAATCTTTCTAAAGAAATATGTCAAAGTAAACAAAGAGTACAATAAAGAAAAGAGAAGCACCTTCAAGTGGACTTCAGCTCTGAGACGCTCGGTTTGTTCTCGGTAAGCTCGGTTCGACATGCGCGAAGTTGCGCTACGAACAGTTCGTTGAAACACAATGGTGCTGTTCTGAAAAATGAAACTGCAAATAATAGTAGTGATGTCTACTTGTGATTCGAAACACTGTCAGAATCGTTACGAGGAACTACTAAAATGCAGTCTGTCGGAAACGAACTTGCAGCTCTTTTTCGAGAAATTCTTTGTTGCGATTAGCAGCCGAATAAACAACGTCAACGTTCGCTCGCATTCTCGCTATTATCTCATTTGCTCGTCGATTATGAGCTTCAAATTTCTCGTTCGGATAGCTGACCTGGAGAGATAGGGTTTCGCTAACTTAATTTTATATTAACAATAGAGGTCGTAAATAAACAGGGCGGTACAACAGATAATACCAATAAACACTCTGAAAATTACCTCGAGATACAATGCTCAAAACTGCTTCTCAAACATCTCGAAACTCCATGGCTCTAACTTGGTGGCCATCAACTTGATACGGCGTCTTTATTAAACCTCTTGCTTTCAACCGTGATTCCAGTACCTGAAGAGAAAACGGTTACTCAATCAGGACCTCCATAGGCAGGCTAAATCCGACTCTATACAAGCACGCTAATTCCGATTCCATACAACTGGAAACCTTGACATATTAGGAAACATGTAAAAAAAATATGCCACAAAACAGACAGATGGGTCCGCCGAACTTTCAATCGTTCCGTTTAGCCTGTCAAGCTAGGAAAAAAAAACTCCTCCTTTGGAAATACCCCCACGATGTTGATGGAATCGTGCTTTTTTTTCAAGTCAACTCATACTCTTTACCTCTCCCATTCAAACCGTTCACCACGGGTGTTACTGTCAGTTGGGAAAATGGTCAAAAATCGTGGCTCTGGCCAAAAACTATGAAATTAAATGTGGAAGAAATTATAATAGAATGAGTTTATGCGTGTGGAAAAAGCAAATTACAGGACATTCGGCGACGATCAATCCTCCTTAAGAAGTGCTATCAATTCCATTTCCAGAGCTTTGACATATACAGTTACTTGTGCACACAAGCCGATGTAAAAATCAGTGTTCTTGTCCACCTAGTCTAGTCGATCGTCAAGGAACTAATCTCGCAAAGAAGTTAAACATGGTCCATATAACTTGCGTGAAAGATACACCCCGCACCATAAATGGTGAGCTGAGCGGCTCAAATATTGGTGAGAAGATGGTAAAAATGGCAACAAGGAAGGAAAAAAAGCAGAAAGTTTCCACCCGAAGGCTCATTCAGAGCAGCATGCTAAAGGGCGTTAGTATGTGCGCAAAGGCAAAAGAGGATGCAGATGGGAAGTTCTCGTTTGTCTGGTACCAGCTTTTCTCCTTTTCACTTCACTCTCTAAAGTGGAGAGAGTTAGTAGCAGAACAATCGCACCACTAAAAATGAAAGTTGGGAGGTGCCATGGTCAGGAGGCGCGACCGGCCTTGCCACGAGCGTTTCGGGTTTTCCTTTCGTCTTTTTGAGCTGCGAAAGTAGTACATCCTTCATGCTAGCAGACAGGACTACAATCTCAAAAAATGTCTGAACACGAAGCGGCAAACGCAAACTTGGCATAAAGAGGCATACATCGGCTGTTCCCGTAGGGCACCGTGTAGGCTAAACGCTATACGTCATCAAATGGAAGAAGAAGTTGACTGCGCGGCGCACTTGAAAATATATTGATCTATATCCCTTTATACATTGTACGTTTATACGCTAAACATCATCACATATCTTTTTGAGGCATTCGTGCAATAAGGCTTGGCATTAACTTTCAGTTATTTCATCTGTCTCAAAGGCAAACGGACGCTCTCCATAGGAGACCGACTCTGATTGAATAACGTACCTCTCGCGAAGAGACAAAGAAAATCCTGTCTTTCACATCACGATCAGTTGCCACCTCAAGCTCATTCACGAGGAATTGACGGAAGCGCGTCAAATGCTGTTGCTTCACCTCAAAACAAAACACTACGCTAGGAAGATAAAGCAATTAGTAAACAAGAACAAACATCATCAATGTGTTCTGACTCTGCCGCACTTGCATCCCAGCGATTATTCAGAATAAAAACGTTCGGTTTGCTGAGCTTCTTGGCTACACGGTAGAAGAAACTTTTCTCCTGAAAGAAATTGTCGTAGGTCATCTCGACAACAGGGGTTCAATTAAATCTGCGGATAAAAAAAGTATCAGATACATACCGCCTGTGTAAGTGTGGATTCCGCATTCAACACCAACACAAACACGTCTGCATCTAAACAATGTTTATCGATCCAACTATCGAACTCAGGCGACAGATCGACACCAGGGCTGAAACAAAAGATGGGAAACGCTGCATGTCCTTGAACTTATGGTGAGAACTCCTGACTCGAATAATATGATGTACAGTCGTATTGAACTGCTCTAACCGTACCGTTGATCAATAAGAAAAGGATCATAAGTAGACTGACTGTAATGGTCGATCAACGGCCCGACCCACTTTCTCAGCGCTCGAACGAAAAAAAACCAAGTCATAAGTTCAGACAAGCTACACATGTTCTGAAAACTGCTCACTAGTTACTGCCATTCTGCTTTCTCAACTCAATAAACGTTCCGCACAGCATTCATGTTTCTCTGGGCGTTCATGGCTCGAGTAACCTCTTCAAGTGGAGGCACCGCTAACTAGTTGTAGCACCGCTGATTTTACGACTGTCACGTAGGTGGCATTTTCTCCACGCTCTTATAGCTTGATGCTGCACCAACTACGCATAGCTAGCAGGTACCGCAGCACTGAGGCCTTGGGAAAGAGGTTATCGGCAACAGTGGGCAACTTTCATCCATCCATCTACAGCATAACTGCGCAGTTTTTCTCCGTTTGTCATCAGTCAAAGAATTGAGTTTTGGTTGGAAGAGCGCTCTGCTCGGTGCTCTCACTATTTCAACCAAGATCCGTTCTCTGTGTACAACGCTCCGTAAGCTTTTCTTGCCAAGTAATTTCACGTGCCGCACCAATTTCCTCCACACACAGACACATAAATCCCACATGATGACCATTTCACTCTACCACTCAAACCACCAGTTAAGGTATATACGAACTCCCATTATCAAATCTTTAACACTTAGGAAAAAAGCAAGAGCAATTTCGCTGCACCTCAAAAAAATGAGGAACGTAACACTCTTACTTGTACTTGCGATCGGAGCATTAGAGGCACGGCCTGCGACAAGGATCGTTGGTAATGGTGTTTAAACTTGTAAATGAAATTGTCAAAGGACCCATCTCCGAAGTCCTTAACGCCTTCTATAGGACCTCCAGTCTCAAACAACTGTACGGGTGAAGGCCAAGGATCGCGTGTTGCGACGACGAGTCCAGTGGGCTGATTCCCTGAAATGATTGGAGCATCCACTTCACTCTGCTTGTCCGGTAGCACCGCTTTTGGAAGGAAGGCTGCCTTGAAAGCGCAGTCTGGAGGCAGTCTGTGGAAAAAGGAAGGTGCCACTCGGGCAACTCTTCGCCTCAACTCTTTAACCTTACAATTTTCCGCCGCTAAACTGGCACAAGGTTGTTCACCACGGACTACACTACTTTTCCCATACAATCTTCTGCATTTTTGTAGCTCATCGCGGACCGTTCCTTCAATGTGTTAAGTGTAAGAGCTGAAAAAGAAGTTAACTGACCTGTCTAAAATAACGACGTCATTTTGTAACAGACGGTTTTCTCCTTCGCCATGACCTTTAGGGTAAAACACACGGAGCAACGAGTCTTGACCCATAGCTGGCAAATCGGAATTGTCGCTACTTAGTGCATGACCAATTTTACCCAGCTGACTGATGGGTATGCGAGTTGGATCATCTTCGTGTAGAAGGAAACCGGTATCCTCATCACAGCCTTGTACCTGGATTATTTTGATGTTTTGTATACGATGGAACTGAGCTTTAATTCAGTAAGACATAGCCTTCGACAATACAATCTTTTTTTTTCTCGCCAGTCTTGCGTTCGCCCTCGCCCGAGCCTAACGGGCGACGAACGCCCACTGCGCAGCAATAAAGCACAACTTACTATGACTACACAGCATAAGAGTACCTTCATAACATTGAAATCCCTCAAAGTCTGGCTACGACCTTTCCATCCCCTCCTACCGGTCATCTGCCTAGCCGTTTTTTCCAAGTTTCCTGATCTGCGATTACTTCCCATAATCATCAAATCGTTCCAGGACAACGGCGAGAGGGAATATAGCGCATACGTAACAGGCCAAAAAAATCGGCAACCGGAAACACTGCTTTCAGCTTTTGTTGAACTTGCGCGTACTATGCATACCTAGGCAACCACGAATGAAATTCGACATTGCCCCTTTTTGTGACTGCTCTAAATGCACTTTCTGTAGTCCAGTTCCCTGCTGACGAAGAGGCGGGATGAGTTTGGAAAGGTGCCAAAGCCGTACTCCACCAGCTGTTGAAGCGAACAAGCGGCAACACGGCAGCATATCAGTCTATCGCTCGTTTTCTACGAACTGTTTTAACATATCCGCTTCTACAACTGGCAAGAACGGTTTTCGTGGCTATGGCACGCTCGTGCTGCCTAATATTCCCCATCGCAGCAGTGAACTACAATTTACATCGCTGTAAGGTTAGAAGTGAAAAAACTGAATCACCTGTAAAAAGCAGCATGTTGTGTGGCCCATTCCTTGTGGTAGAATTTTTGCATGAAGCATTGCGTTGATCGTGGTACTTTTTCCATTGCTTGTTCTATAAACCCTTCATAATAAATGGAATTCTTCGAACGGGGAATAATTCGGGTGAGGATTCCTCGGTACAACGATAGTCAACGAATAATGAACAATTCTTTTACCTTCCGAAGAAAACGACTTTCATGTTGTCCCGTCTGAATGTTTCCATGATAGTTTTGATGGAATCACGGAAGAGAACGATTTCCTCGGCTTGTTCAACAGGAACCAATGAGTCATTCGCATCTCCACCGCCGCCAGTGTGAGCACCAAGACCTTGAAAGTGGGATGGATAGATTCTTCTGAAAGAACACGCCTAGAAAAAGGCTTCCTAAACGTCCTACATAACTACGTCATAATGGTGAGAAAACAAACAAACTAAAGTCATGGCAACACTAGGAAGCACAGAGCCCTTGTGATGGACCACTTATTTGTTAGTTTATAGACATTGATTACGTCAATAAGTCACATTGATAATTTCAGGACTGAGGTTTTCAGACTCAAAGTATTCAAGGCAATCTTCTGGGGTTGAAAAATTTATAGGTTTTCAGACTCAAAGTATTCAAGGCAATCTTCTGGGGTTGAACAATTCATCGGATTTAGAGAAATACGCAGTTTTCCTCCCGGATGACTGGACAAAACACGCATACATATCGAAATTCCCGCATCTCAATAAGCCGAAGTTAGTGCTTAGGACACGTTGCAAGCTAAGCTGAACATTTACTCCCGAGGACGGTCCTCGTCGTTTTGCGTGAAACGCTTTGACAGATTTACATATGTGACACTTTCGCGCAGAAACGAGGATGAAGGGTAGTGGAAGCCTGATGCTGTGGACTCCACCCACGCAGTCCTCAAGACCCAGCACTCGCGTCGACACTAAAATACCGCAGCGAACATATAGTCAGAGGTGGAGAACAAGTAGATGTAAGAGGGCGCAGACAAGCAGCGGGCTCAGTCATACCTAGGCGCGTTGCTGGCTGTGCTGCCGTAGTCCAGAACATCGCTGAACGACCACTACCTTCCAGCGTCATTTCCGCGCGCTTTCGAGCGACGGACGTCACTTACTTCTACAACGCGCAACCTGTTCTCTCCGCAAATGAAAAGGATCAAGGTCCTCCGAAGTGGGAGTATGATATGTCCTTGATTGTCCTCGCTAATCTGGATGTATGCACACTGTATTAGGAATTGATGGCAAGGATCCCAGTTCTTATCCTATCGACGTACAAAGTCCCGAGCGGTATTGCGCGCACGGTTGACTGGAAGACTTGGCACAAAGCAACAATGCCACGTCTAGTATTCGAAGGGGTCCTTGTGTGGGAGACCCGCCTCTTTTGGTGTGCTCACCGCCGCGATTTGTGACGAACGATATACGCCCTTTTCCTATATATGACATACATAATAACTAAAACCAAGGAAGGAACAAACCTTTGTAAACTTCATCTAGTTCATCCACATGCTTTCCCAAGTCGGTATAGATATCACCCAGAACTTTCTTGGCCTCTGAAAAACGAAGCAATGGCTCGGCGTCGCCGTTCATCCTTCGAGAGCCCTTCACTAAAAGTTCTAATTCAGTGACTCCAAAGGTGCAGTATGCAAATAAAATACCTGGAAATGAGATAAGAAAATACTGAAGATAAAAACGTTGAAATAACTTACAACTCAGATTGTGTCTAGAGCTATCATTTGTGCCTGCATGCGTCACACCATACATCTCAAACCCATAAATTCAAATGGCACCGCTTAATAAACATAATAAATATTCTGACTTCTATGCTAAACAAAAATGGAACATTGCGAGATAGATATCAGGTTTCAGAGACAATCGATGTTACACAAGGATATACGAAAGAACGAAACTGATCTTATATCAACGCGGGAATTTTTCCGGAGAAGACTTGCAGACGAGGTACTATCGATAAGTGCTTCATTCTTTCTTGGTCATTCACTTTTTTTTGGTCTGCCGCGTCGGTTATTTCGCAAGTACGTCGTGAATTACAAAGTGTAAGGCCACGATAACTGTGTGTATGCGAAAAGATCAGACACAGATTAACTTAGTGAATTGGTGGCACGTCCCACGTTGAAAAAGTGGTAACTTATGCATCAAACAGATGACCGGTACCACAAATGAACAGTACCACTACAAATATGAAGAAAAAAGCACTTAAATCCCGCCCGGAATGCTGCATGTATGAAGTGCATGCAACAAATAAGTATATTCCAATAGGTTATTAAGGTATGGTGGGTACTAGCTCTTTTGAGACTGGTCGATAAGTTGGCGTTTTGCTGGTTAATTACTGTTTTCGAAAAATAACTAACTTATCAATATTGGAACTTGTATATGTAATGTGTTCCGATCACTTTTTTCTCACGTATGCCTTATGCACACGTAATAAACTTATACTTACTTATTTAGAACCACGCTTATGCGTGCGAAGAAAGGGCGTGATCGGACGAGTTCTCACTTGTTGGTATCAGCTTTTTTACCATTATCTCTTTACTATCACCTTTTTCTCCATATTACCTCACTATCACCATTTGAAATGGAGAAAGCTAAAAGCGGTACATCAGCATCATCAAAAATTCGTTAGAAATGAAAGCTGGGCGCTGTCGTGGCTAGTGGGCGGGACCGTGGCTTTGTCGAGCGGCTCGCTCACGCCCTCGAGCTGCAAAAGTAGAGCTTCCTCCATGCTTTTGGAGAGGAGAAAGATGAGTGTTTTCCAAGATTGGAAAACTGGGGCGTTTGAAGAACTGACGAACATGTGAAAAGGATCAGATATGTAAAAGAGCAGAACTAAAGAGCTGCGGAAACAGATAGATACATTCATCTTCCCGTTTTCTTCAGTTCGTGAGTTCTTCACTGTCGTCAGGAATGGATGCGGACTAAGTGTTTAGAAGCAATGTGAATCGTATGGAATGATGACTAATGACAAAGGAGTCGATTCAAAGTGATGCCTTCATCAACAATTTCTCCTATTAGAAACAGCTTCAATGACGGTAATGCAGAATATGCGTATAAAATGACATGTTGTCAGCAGAATCAAACCCAAGCTTTATCCAGACAAACCTTAGCCCCTTAGCTGGTGGGATTTAAGAGTTCAGATGATCTGTGCTCATAAGAATTTAGTCGTCAGAAAATCACCTAACAAAAAATGATATTACCAGAGCCTTCGGTAGATCAGTAAGGGAAGGGTAGCAGTTCTGGTTTTCATCTACTTCGGAATTTTTCCGAAATTTTGAGAGACAAACACGACTGTGGTTGGAAATACACATCTATGGGCTGAACTGGCATCTGTATGAGAAATCTCCGAAGGACTGACGGTGTAATAACACAACGAAAGCTCGCGCCTATGAAGCTTCGTAAAATGTCTTTCAGCTCATGTAGGAGTTTGGAGTTGTCTGAATATGCTTGAGTAGGAATGTCTCATAATTTTGAAGACATAATTCAAATCATGCCTTCCATGGGCATGTGAAGCAACCTATACTAGTAATTAGTCCGAAGAAACAAAGGAGCTCGAGTCATGGCTGTCTATATAAACCCCGAAGTCGGAAAAGGCAACATCCGCATTTTCATAATGAAGCTCTACACAACCTTACATTCTGTTGAAACGCTCGAACTCATACATATAACAATGCCAAAACCATCTTCAACTCATTGGAGATTGCCGAAGAAAACTCACCAGCGACGTCCAGATTCAAGCGTCAAATTGTCATAATCGTCGCAGGGTGCACACTACATGCCCTGCTTTACGCCAAATTTTAAATTCAGCGGTCTGTATCAACAACTTTGTAGATCGCATCGGTTCCTTAGGCTGCGGTCATACCTCACAATGTCGATGTAGGTGACGTAATGGACGTAATGGGATAATAAATGACGTAATGGACGTAATGGGCTGAATTCGACAGGTGCCCTTCCGACGTGACTGTTGTGACCGACGACAGAAGATTAAGTACGAAGCGATTGACGTCGAGATGGCCGGTTGCGTCAGTTAGGTCGACGTCGTAAGGTCTGAACGCAGCCAGAATACTGAGCCTTTTTCAATGCAGCCACCAGAGCCTGCAGTCGAGCACAACCCCCTGGGTGCGCGGGAGGGAGGTGGCGTTCTGCTTTCTGTATGCGTGGGATGTGGTCACTGGCCCATGTTCTCTCTCTCTTCGCAGATAATAAATATAGTGAGGTTCGTGTAGAATATGAATAAGTAGATAGTGGTGTCAACTACAATCACTTTGTTCTATCGATAGCTTCTCTTTTGCAGAGGTTTAGAAGAGTGCTGGGTACGGTGACGGTGGCTCATCTCACGCAGCTAATGCCGTTTGGACGCGATTACTTTCCGCTGTGGAGTCATTTATGAAGTGCCTAGATCACCAAATCCGCTGAAAACTTGTATACAGGGTTATTTAACATCCTGATTACGAATATGACATTCATTTGTGGCGCTGGCGCTAATGGAGGACACTACACTTATCAATTGAAGGCACTTTCCGCGATAAAATGAGTCTATAACCTCTAAAATGTGTCAGATTATCTGGAAGGCGATTCTGGAGGCTGTGCTACCTTCAAAAAGTGATTCGGCTAGAGTTCAACTGGAAGCTGACCAATTAGGCACCGGTGGGGGTCGGCATGGGCCTAAGGGGGGCACCCCCTTAGGCCCATGCCGACCCCCACCGGTGCCTAATTGGTCAGATAGCATAGTGGCTACTAGCTATTAGCTAGTAGCACACCCGCGATGGGCAGGGCGTTCGCCGAAGTGAACGGTGCCGGGGACAAAAACCCTCAAAACACATCCGAAAAACTCCAGGAAATGGGGAGTAAGTGAAACTGAGCAATGGTTGGGCAGATGAAGTTAGTTAGGGATAACCGTAGGGAGTATACCAAATGGTTGGTGCCGTCGCCAATAGTTCATAATTCGGTTCCCAAACACACAATGTGGCATAATCGCAGTGAACGGGTATGTGCCATAGTGAATGGGAGTGAAAATCAAGGGTTCGTAAATCAGTATGTTTATTTATTTGTTTATTTACCTACTATTTACTGCACAACAATTTAGGCAAATGCATATTCCTACTTCCGTTCATCCACTAATCATCCAATACCGACAGACCACACATCGACTATACAGTAGTTTCACAGTTGTTTACCATTGGGAGGGTACATCACTACTATATATAAACGGCAACGTCTGTACGTTTGTCTGTTTGTCTGTCTGTCCGGAAATTCGGAATCACCTGAAGAACCAGTTGGAGGGGCGGGTCAAGGGTGGGTTGGG